TCCACATCACGTGTCGTCCTAGTCAGCAATCGCCAATGCTGCAAATAACGTTATATGCGATTTTGGTGGAATCGACCATGTTTTTTAGTTCATGTAGAAATTTCAAAATTTTAGATAGTTCATGTAGTTATTAGCATTAGTTCATAGATCATATATGAATCCTCATAAATTTGTTAGTTTATAGGGGAATTGCCGTTTTTCTCTTCCTTTTAAAGATAAAAATAAAGAAATTTTCTCCAATAATCCTTATTTTCATCTTCAAAATGAAGGTGTGAATAGTGTTCCTTCATATTTGAAGAAACACTGTTCGTTTCTTCATTCTTTGAAGGTGAACTTTTTCTTTACAAACATGACTTTAACTTTTGAAATGTTTTACTTTATACACAAACTAAACTATGTCTTACTTTCTAGTTCAAGTAAAAATTAAAACTATGTATTCTCATTTAGCCTACAAATTTATAAATAAAACTGCAATAATTATACATATTAAATTGAAATTACAACAACATAGCCAACATCAAATTTGAAATACCTAATGAAAAAAAAATTAATACTAAAAATCAAAGATATATAAAACTTAACACAAGATATATTAACAACTTATATGGAAAACCACTTACCGATCCACTAAGATCATTGAAAACTTGTCCAAAGAAAGTTGATGTCGGAGAAGATTGCTGCTTTTGTTGTTAATCTACCCGCTTTTGTAAAATCCGTGCTTGTTCAGCTTAAACATAAGCACGAATATTTGGACCTTCTATGGAATTCAAGTCTTGAAACAAAATTTTGTTTTCTTCTTTAATTTCTTTCAAAGCATAATTTTTACTTTGAATATCCAAATGATGCTCTCTTCGTGTGCTTGTCTTCTTCAGTTGATCCAGAAGTTGTCTATTTCCTTTTTCTAAGATGTTAATAACAAGTGACGTTTGATCATCAATTTTTCTTTTCAGCTTTGATTTTTTCAACCCAATTGGTCGTTGAGATGGAGATGCACCAATAATGTCTTCATCATCATCTAAATTTAAAGAAAATGAAGACAAATCTGGAGATGCTTGTGTACCAGAATCAGGGGTAGAAGTTTTTGACTCTGAAGATGCATATCCAAAATCACATAGATTTGGTCCTTTTTTAGCAGAAGTGTCACCATCTTTGAACTTTTCAAAGTTTTAAATAATGTTACAAACATGATTAAACTTCCATTCACATTTGTATTTTGGATCTTCCCTTAGCATTATTTTGGCTTGATTGAACTGCAAACGATTTTAAAAAAATATATAAATAAACTTAAAATTTTATATTAATAGTTACAAAAAAATACTTACAATATCATCATTTGAAGCACCATTTTGACGTCTATTATCACACTGTTTAATGCATGCATGTAGCTTTTTTGTTGCTTTCTAAATAGCTTGAACCCGACATTGGATAGATTTACTGAATGGTCACTCCAAGATGCATCTTTTCCATTCTTGTAAGCTTTCACTACACGAGACCAGAACTCATTAGATGACTTGTAAACGCTCTTAACTGGATCTTGATAAATTTCCATATAAACTTTACATAAAAGGTTATCTTCTTCTTGAGTATATCCATGAGAAAGTAATGGCATTTTTATAGATAAAATAAGAAATATTTTGAAGACTATGGAAAACTATGAAATGAATACATCATTGTGAATGGAAATACAAATATTTATTATTATTTATAGATAATAGTAAAGATTCTCACATTTTTTAGTCTTTTATAAAATGATTTGAAAATACAACGACAAATGTTTTCAAAGATTCTCACATTTCTCAATTCATGATGACAAGATTTAACAATACAATGGCATAGTGATTCAAAAATTCTCACGCTCATAAAACCCAACTATGAGAATACAATAACAAAATACAAAAATTCACATTTCTCAATCTACTATGATATGATTTGACAATACAAAAGAAAATAATTCAATTCTCATTTCAAAAACCAATTATGAGAATACAATAGCAAAATACAAAAATTTACATTTCTCAATCCATTATGACATGATTTAACAATACAAATGAAAAATAATTCAAAGATTCTCGTTTTAAAAACCAACTATGATAATACAATAGCAAAATACAAAATTTCACATTTCTCAATCCACTATGACATGATTTGAAAATATAGAAGAAAATAATTTAAAAGATTCTCGTTTCAAAACCAATTATCATAATACAATAGCAAAATACAAAATTTCAAGATTATAAATAACACTACAACTTTGTGTTTGCCATCACAAATGCATTACATATTTTTATTTTTCTCATTATAAATTTTTGTTTCAAATGAATTATAATTTTAAAATGTTCATAATTCATCATCTTCTTCAGATGATGATGAAAATATGGCAATGATCAATAATCTCTATCAAGAAGAACATGCAATACATCTTGCAATTGCTAACAACAATGCGATTATTTAATTCCTTCTTAACAAAAAAAGCAACCAAATGATCCATGATGGCTCAGTTTCCGGACACTCTTTCATACATCATGACCGAGAAAGCGCACATAACAGATTGGCATGTTTCACCCAAATTACAATGATGCTATGTTTCACAGGAGATATCGTATGTCTCGTCCCCTATTACTTCGTATTATTAATGCAGTTGAAAGTCATGGCAAGTAATTCAAACAACGAAAGGATTTAACCAAAAGATTTGGATTATCATCTCTTCAGAAAGCAACGATTGTGTTTCAGATGCTAGCATATGGTGTACAAGTAGATGCCACAAATGAGTACGTTAAGATTGGCGAATCAACAGCAATTGAAAGCATGAAGTGATTTTGTCGAGCCGTGGTGGAAGTATATTTTGATCAATAGTCATGTTCCCCAACACCTGATGATATTTCTAGACTTATTTACATTGGTGAAAAAAGGGTTTTCCAGGAATGTTAAGTAGTCTAAATTGCATGCACTAGAAGTGAAAAAATTGTCCTAGGCTGGACAATACGCTGGTCGTAGTGGATCACCAATTATAATTCATGAAGTTGTGACCAATTATGATCTTTGGATTTGGCATGCATATTTTGGTTTGCCCGACACAAATAATGATATCAATGTATTAGAGTCTTCTCATATTTTCTCTAATCTCGCTCAAGGTATTGCTCCTCCTGCTCGATATGTCATTCAAGGTAAAGAATATGATATGGGTTATTTTTTGGCTGATTGTATATATCCAAAATGGTTCATCACTGTGCAAACTATTCATGAGGCAATGAGTTCAAAAACAAATATTTTGCTGCACAACAAGAAGCATGTAGAAAAGAGTGGAACGTGCATTTGGAGTTCTTCAATCGTGATTTGCAATTGTGAAAAGGGCCAGCTCATTTTTTGGAGAAAAATGTCATACATGACATAATGACTACATGCATAATTTTACACAACATGAGGATGAACGTGATCTAAACGCACCAATTGAAGAAAGAAGAGAAGCTCCACTTCCATATATTGAAATATAAGAGGATGAAAATACACGATTCCAAGAATTTTAGCTTGATTTAGAAAAATCAAAGATAAAGAAACTCATTTCTTATTTAGAAATGCGTTAATTAATTATTTGTGGAAAACATGTATGTCTAATATTGCATAAAATTTATTTATTTAGTTTATGTTATGAAATGTAGTTTTATGTATAATAAAAATTTTAATTTCTATAAAATTATGATTTTGTTGAATATTGGTTAAAAGAAAAATAAATGAGGATAAAGTTGTAAATGTTAAAAGTGAGGGTGTTGTTAGCAATTAATAGTATATAATGGTTAAAAATATTGAAAATATTTCTTCATTATTTCCTTTGTTTTTGAAGAAAAAATTGAAGACAACCATTGGAGAAAAACTAGTTTCTTCATTATTTTTTTTGTTTTTGAAGAAACTCTACAAATAAAAAATCATTAGAAATATTCTAATCAATTAAATAACAAAAAAAAAATTTAAAAAGTAGGAGAGAAAAAAATAATGTGAGAAACAGTTCTGACTGGAGATACCTTTTATTCTTTGTCATCTTTTTATTGGTTAATTTTTTGTTTTTCAATTAAATTTTAAATGTTTAATTAAATTATTTTAAAAATATTAATTTTATATATCTTCGATACTCTTGAGAGTATCTTAACCATTGTGTGGATGCTCTAAAGAGCTGACAATTCAGAAACGATAGAAAGCTCTTAATATTTTTTATTTTTAAAAAATTGATTTTTTTCAAAACAAATTTTTTTTTTGACAAATCATGTCTCACCATGTCACGGGAGAGACACTCCTTCCGCCCTTGCGCAGAGAGCCGATTTTTCCTTTTAGTCTCGCCACATTATTTTTTTTTTCTTTAGAACCTTACTAAAGCTGACTATTACAGATGTTCTAAGAGCAGCTGTAATGGAGAGATTCATTACAGTTTTTATATTTTTTTAAAAAAGGAAAAAAAAAATAAATGAGGTGGAGAATTATTTAGAAAGAATCGATTCTCTGCATAGAGGTGCAGGAGTCGACTCTTCCCCTTCTTTTGCCATGTGTCATTATATGATTGGTCAATTTTTCTATTTATTTATTTTTTTTTTAAAAAATCGTTTTATAAAAAAAAAACTTTTATTTTTTATTTTTTTTTTAGTAATAAAATTTGGAAGAGCTCCCATGTGAAACTTTCCATTGTTGATGCTCTAAGTGCGTTTGTTTATGAGATTGTATATTTTTGCTTGATTGTGTTGTGTGGCCAAACATTTAGATCATTATCGTTGTGATACTGTGAATTGATATTTTTTTTTAAATGACTAAGAATATATGTGTTTTAGTTTATCAGTAAACACTTAAACTCATTTCTTCTTGTGCACGAAAAAAAATAAAAAAAATATAAGATGAAATGAGACAGCATGTTACCTAGTTAAGCAACCCCAATGGTAATACCATTAGAAGGGGTCTTAATAATTAATTATTAATATTTTGTGTATTTTATGTATATAAGACACTTTGTAGGATTTTCTTGTTTTTAAGCATACAATAGATACACTTTTGATGGGTGATATTTTTTTTATAAATTAATTTATGTAAAAATTTATTTTAATAACTTTTAAAGCATAATACATTTTCATAAAGGTAATACATAGAAGCAAACCTTCTCTCTTCCTTGCCTAAGTCTGAAACAGAAACACAAAAAGCAGATCTCATAATTTGTATCCACTTCAATCAAATACCAATCTCAATAACTAAACTTGAAACTTAAATTTTATTTCATAAACTTAAACTGAAACTTAAATGATGATGATGGTGAAACTTAAACTGAAAGACAATGACATGAACTTAAACTGAAACTTAAATTTCATTTCATAAACTTAAATATCATTTCATAAACTTAAATTTCATTTCATAAACTTAATATCATACATGAGTTTGCTTCTGCCTGTAATTTTCATTTCTGCATCTCTCAGTCAGGTTCCTCAACTATGTCTATGGGAGAGATAATCCCGTAACAGGATCTACAAGACAAGCAAAAAGAAGATCATCAGATCATAACAACGATGCAGTGTTCAGTAAAAAAGAAGAGGACATCTACTTCGGTTCCTCGCCATGATGCTGACAAATTGTTTTTCTTGAAAGAATCGAGGCTAAAAGGACCCAAATCAGCTGTGCTAATTGTGATGACATCTAGTACTTGGAGGGGAAGAAAAATAGTAAGAACCGAGTCACTCTAAGAAGAACAAACCAGACTAAGTTTCCACTGATCTAGACTTACCAGTGAAGATTCTGCACACAACCAATACATTAAACAACATCCTTACTTTCGCTAAAACATAAAAGCAGGAAAATTAAAAGAGTTTCAGCCCACCTGCTTCACAGAAGCATTTGAATAATCTGCAGTAATGAAAGTAACTTCATCAGATAGAGAAATCGCAGATGATGATATATACTATATATTAGAAACTCGAAAACGTTAATAGTTAGAGATTAAAAGCTCAACATTTATTCCAATGACTGAACAAACAATAATAACTTTATCAGTCTAGAAAAACAGCAATTCTCGGAAGAAGATCATTATTCATCAGTGTCACTCCAAGCGATTATTTTAACGGCAATGTAACTCGAATGCAGATAGTGAAGGCAGAACAAAATAGTAATGGTAAAATCATTCTATCTCCTCAATCCTTATAGCATTTCTAGATCTCTCTACATGAATCCAAATAAATTTAAGCAAGATAAGCAATGTTCATACTGTTTGAGGAATCAATGTATACTCCTCGGCCAACAAAGAAGACAAGAGGTGCGAAAACACAGAAAAAGACGAGGAGCACAAGGACAGATCGAGATTCACCACCACCTCCTTTAATCCGGTGAACTCCCGATAACCCTCGCTTCAGCGCCATCCCTGTCAAAATTAAGAAGAATACCCAAAAAAAAACCTAAATCAAGCAACGAACCGCGGAAGCAGCCAAATAATGGAGGAGAGAGACAAACAAATCATACTCGGAATCTATAAGAGATGAGGTGAGATTTGAGAAGAATCCAGCATCACAAAGGCCTCGCAGGTAATAGACTAAGACTCCATTACCAATCAAACAATCATAGGCGTCACAAAGGCCTCGCTATCCCAATCCATCTCTCTTTCAGAAGCTATGGGGAAACAATAATCTGCTCTGACGAAGAAGAAGAAGGTATAAGGATTGATAGGTTTTTGCAATTGATTCGAATTTTTTGAGTGATTCTCGAGATTTCGATTTGCCGATGTTTTGATTCTCATCTGTTTTCGTCGACGAGAGATAGATGAAGAGAAAGACGAAAAAAATAATTCTTTTGTTAATTTTTTTTTTCTCCACTTAGACTCTGCCACTTGTTTGTTCTTAAATTAGAAAAAGATTCTAAATTAAACACTGATCTAATTTTTAAGACACAACTTCTAATTAGTTTATTCAAATATACTCTTAAAAACATTTATTAGATACTTTGGTGTGGTCTAAGAACATCAAGGATATGAAGAGGGTATCTCACTTTCTGAAAATAATAAAATACTATAAAAAAGAAAGAGAAGATGAGATTCGCTTCTCATTTAACATTCTGCATTGATGAGATACTCACATAAGTATCTCATCAATTTAATAATAATAATTTTAATATAATTTAACTGTATTAATTAATTTTAAATTTGAAATAAAGTTTAAACCAAATATATAAAGAGAACACATGAGGTGAGTCTTTTTTCCATTCCCTCTCTCCTCTTTTTTTAAGTTTATTAATTTTTTATTTTGAAAAACTTGATGAGAGACTACCAATACAGGTACTCTGAGAAACTTATCTAACTCTTTATTTTTTTGCGATTAGTTCATTCTTTTTAATATTAATATAATAATTGTTTAGATACCATTTTAGGTATCTAACCGATGGGTTTGCTTTTTATACACTTGCAAAAGCTCTTTATAGTCTAAAAGTCCATTCTTGTTCCAACAAACGTTTGAAATATCTTAACATGAACCATTCTCAATCATTCACAAAGGAACAACGAATAAAACCAATGCGCAACGTTTTTAAATAGAAAGAAAATCCGAACTAAAATGATTGATGGTACATTTTTGCTAAAGCATGCAAGCATAGAACAGCATCTATTTTTTATATATAAAACACGACAGTGAAATATTAAATAGCAGAGAACTATATGAAAACATATGAAAATATAACGTATTTACGAGAAGTTTCGTCTATTAGCAAATGAGACGGTGTTTCACTTTTTCCTTGTCATATAACCGACAAGCTCGTCAACGTAGCGGGAATTATCATCAATGTTCCCGAACAAACCCTTCATGACCTTTGCTTTAGCCCTAACCGACTCGCCTGCATCATCAACCATGGCCAATCGAACCGAGTAAGCCACCGAGTCAGAGTCAAACGATCCTTCTTTCTCATCTCTAGGGATCTCAACACCAAGTCCCTTTCCCTCCAGCAGCCTCGTGTTGAGCCCTTGCTCATTCACCACCGGAAAGAAGATAGGAACTCGCCCGAACCCTAGCCCTTCCACAAGTGAGTTCCAACCACAGTGCGTCAAGAAACCGCCCACCGAGTCGTGACTCAGTATTTTCACCTGAGGAACCCACCCAACATGAACCATGCCACGTCCCTCAACTCGTTCCTCGAACCCCTCCGGAATCTTAGACTCGTTCCTTAGAACCCAAAAGAAAGGCACTGCTGATTTCTCCAGCCCATGAGCCAACTCGGCGAGTTCCACTGGACTAAGGCTAGCCTCTGTACCTAGTGCCACGTAGATCACTGAGTTGACTCGTTGTTCGTCAAGCCACTTCTTTATACCAACCCATGTTGTATCTCCTTCAACTTCATCTTCAGTACCGGTCTGCAAAAACCCAGTCGGAAACACCGGTTTTCGACACAAATCTCTTAGTAAACCAAGCCACTCCGGTTCAAATTCAGAGGAGCTATGGATGAAAACCGCATCGCACTCTAAGATCGAGTAGCCGAACCGGGCCGAATCAGCGACTCCGGTCGTATCTTGCTCCTTCTTCTTACCGACCAAAGTGATCTCGTGATAACGATACGCCATGTTTGATTGGAACGGGATCCACGGCGGCACAACCGTGAAGTCTTCAGGCTTAGATCTGAAACCTTCTATCAGCAACGAAGGCGGTCCCAAGAAACAGAGAGATGCGGCGTTAAAGATGCTGAAGAAAGCCTTGGAGATTCCGAGCTCCGCCGCAATCGGAGGAAGCCAGTGAGAAGCGTAGTCGTATATGACCCAATCCGGAGAAGACCGCTGGAGAAACTCCGTCAACGGTAACCGAAGAAGATCGAAGGAGGATTTGAGAGACTGTTGCTTGTTGTAAGGCACGTCCATTGAGCATTCTGATCCAGGAGTTGAGCCGGAGAAGGGAGGGAGAGGGAAAGAGACGAAGGTGATGGAGGAAGAGAGGTTTGATGGTAATTTTGGAAGTCTCTCGATGTTTCTTGGTGTTGATATGAAGGAAATCTTGTGACCCTTTTGCGCAAGTAACTTTGATAGACGAAGAAAAGGAAGAAGGTGACCCATAGCCAGCCATGGAAACATCGCTACATGCAGAGCTCCTTCTCCCTTCTCCATTTTTTTTTGTTTATCTCTGCGTCTCCAATAAACAATTTACATAAAGGAAGAATCTATAATTTGCTAACCATTTAACAACTAGTCAACGACTGAAGATACAAAGTGATTAAGCTGTGATTTAAACTCGTATACCTATTTAATTAGTATCTATTTAAGTGTCATTTTGACACTTTTCACATATATTAAAAAATTTAATAAAAAGTTTTTTTTGTCCTTCATAAATATATTAAATAATTTTCTTTTTCTAATTAATACACTAAAATAATAAGGTTAAAATTGAATTTTTAATTAAAAATTTGCATTGAAAATATAAAAGAACACTTTTTGTGAAACAAAAATAAAACTCTAAAACGACACTCTTTATAAAACGGAGGAAATATTAATTACTGATATAACACAAATTTGTAGCGATATCTATAATATATGCTTCTTCTTTTAAAATCAAATTAGTGTCAACAATTCGGAGTTGTATTTGCATTTTGTGGTTTAACTAAAAGACAAATTTTAAAAATGATTTTGTAACTTCCAAACGGATCTTGATGGCTCCACGTTTATAAAATTATTATTTCTTGTGGTTTCTTTCTTTGTTAAAGAATATATTAATTTCCTTTATTATGAAAAGACCGCATGTGTCAGCAAATTAAGTAAGAAAAGTATGTAGGATCTATTTTAGTGCTATCAAAGTTGGATTTGAGTTTGCTATGATTGGTCTTTACAAGTAACGGGTTAACCATCTATTTCCTCGTCAAATTTTCATATAATCTATATATATTATATAAAAGGTGAGCAACTCTCTTTAATTGAATATCACATTAATATTAGAGAAAGTGATATCTATCCATTTAATTTTTGTAATGAATAGTTTATTATTATTATAAAATTTCTATAAATTAATATATTTGTGTTTAAATTTCTAATATTTATCAAAAGACAAATAAAGTATTTTTAATAATTAAAATTAGTTAAGAAAATATCAAATCAATACGTTTAGAAGATAAATCAATTTTTTTTATAAATTTAAAATATTAATATAATCATATTTTACTATATCATATTATTTATATATATGTGCATGTATAATTATTAATTTATATAATTACTGAACTGTATTTTTACATAAGAATTCCAAAAAAGTTATTATCTTATTTTTTTACCAAAATTTGTTAATTTTTACACTGACCCGACTTGAAACTGGCAACATTTATTAATATATAGTGATTATTAATTTATTGAATATTAATTTATAGAGACTATATTGTATGATGTAATAAAAGTTGGACTAATTAATTATGTACTCTTTAATTATATGCTAATTAAAAACATAGTATTTGCTTTGGATAAAAATGAGATCATGAGTTGCGGTGTGGATATATGATCGAGAAATTAGCGACTAAAAAAGTTTAAGTTGTTTGTACCGTGGATTAACACCATCTGCAAAAATAAAAGCGTCTCTATATATATTGTGTTTGAAGGGTTTCTCTAATAACTTTTGTTATATGCTACTCTAATTTGCAATATATTCATTTTAATTTATGTTATATATATAAGGCATAACATAATTCATATTTTCTGATCAACAAATGATTTATCACATACATAATTATTATCTACGTAATACATATATATATATGTATTATATGTTTATTCAAATGCACAATATTCTTAGAGAAAATTTAGACATAATAAGTCATCAATAAAATTATGGAAATCTTGTAAAAATGACCCATAAATTCAAGTTAATTGCTAAACTAACCTTCTATTTTACCACTTTTGAAATTAACCACTTTATCTCACTTATATCCTTATCAGTTCTATTTATTTACGAAAATGCCATTAGAATATTGTTTTTTATTATTATTTCGGAAATCTATTTTACCAAACAATCCTCATCTTCCTCACTTATTCACGAAAATGCCATTACCATCAATTCATTCAACCACCATTTTCAACCAATTTGAAGCTTTTATTGCTTCAAAGACCAATTTTTTAGCTTTGTAACCTCATTTCCTCTTCTCTTAACCTTCTACTCTTCCATTTTTTCACCATTCTCAGCACAAAAACTCTCTAATCTAAATTTTTGAAACTTGATGTTTTAATATATTGTCATATTTGGTGATTTGGCCTGGCAAATCGTTTGGGCTTGTTTGGTGGTGGCTGGAATCAAAGAAAGTCGGTGGTTGAATAAGTTAAATACCACTGGTAGGTGATTTTTCAGTCAATTTTCGTGAGTTTTCAGATCTGTGCCGCGAAATTAGACTTCCTAAGAAGTCTGCTAGTCAACACACAAGTTAGTTTTGCAATTGACCGGGTGTACCAATTTCTGACAGTAGAGACTACAGTTGAAGTCTGCACCATTTCCTTTGACAACAAAAAAAAATAGTGTAAACTTCAAAAGAAGTCTACGTAAAAAGGGGTTAGTTTTGCAATTGACCAACTTTTGACTTTTTCGTAAGAAGTCTACTCGCAAAAGTAGACTTCTTCGGAGAAGTCTACTTTGAACTTAGACTTCTTAGAGGTTAATTTTGCAATTGACCAATGTTGACTTTTTCGAGTAGACTTTGCTTGAAGCCTACTTTTCCGAGTAGACTTCGTTTGAAGTCTACTTTCTGAGTAGACTTCAAAAAAAGTCTACTCGAAAATAAATTAAATGTTTGGTCAACCCCAAAACTAACCCAAGTAGACTTCGTTTGAAGACTACTTTTGAAGTAGACTTCAAACGAAGTCTACTTTGAAAAGTCAACATTGGTCAATTGCAAAACTAACCTTTTTTTTACGTAGACTTCTCGAGTAGACTTCTCGGAGTGAGTAGACTTCTTTTGAAGAAGTTTACTCATCTTTTGGCAATTGCAAAAGTAACCTAAAATATAGACTTCATACGAAGTCTACATTTGTAGATTTTATTGCAAGTCTACTTTTGTAAACTTCGTTGTTAGTCTACTATTTCAATTTTTTTTATAAACGCGTTTTTATCAAATTTACAACGAATTATTAAGATTTTTTTGGTCTTACGATTGTTTTAGTAAGTGTACTTACATTTGTATCAGTTTTACATGTTTATATTATATATATTTGGTGAAATCAAGTTTTTTGTTTTATTTGATATTTAGCTTATTAGTCCGTAGACTTCGTTTGCAGTCTGCGACATTAATTTTTTTATTAAATTAATTGATCAGATATTTGTAACAAATAAAATTTATTCTTTGACTCTTAAGTGTGTATTATTTATTGTTCTTAATTATGTAGGAGTTTGATATGTTTATTTGTTATAGTTTAGCTTTATTTAATTTTCTTGTTCTAATTGGTATTTAGCTTATTAGTCCGTAGACTTCACTTGAAGTCTACATAGTAGACTTCGTTTGCAGTCTGCGACATTATTTTTTTATAAATTTAATTGATCAGATATTTGTAACAAATAAAATTTATTATTTGACTCTTAAGTGTGTGATATTTATTGTTCTTGCTTATGTATGAGTTTGAATTTTTTTTTGTTACAGTTTAGCATTAACTAATTTTCTTCTTTTATTTGGTATTTAGCTTAATAGTCCGCATACTTCATTTGATGTCTACATAGTAGACTACGTTTGCAGTCTACTTTTTCGACATTGATTTCTAATGTGGTTTGAATTTTGTTTTCTTACAGAGAATGGTTCACATACCCACTGTTTATTGAGAATGTGTAAAGAAAGACTAGTTGTGGTATTTCTAAGTAGTTTTACATGTTTTTTTTGTTATGAGTTTTACATGTTTTTGTATAGTTAAATTGAATTAATTTTTTGTGTTATTAGAGGTTCAAAGATGGTGATGACTAAGTCTGACAAAGAAGTCTGCATATAAAATCTGAATATGATAAAATACACATAATTTAAGAATATATAAAAATAACATTAATTGCAATCCAACTTTACATATAAAGTAGACCTTCTAATCAAACAAACATTTAAGGATCACTAATTATAAATCTTAAAATTAGCATATAAAAACAAAATGTCTGAAATAGATGTATGTGACTGAAGTCTGCTCGAGAAGTCTGCTCGAGAAATCTACTCGAGAAATCTGCAGCTGAAGTCTGCTTCCAACAAAAACAAAAGAGAAATAAATAAGCTCAGGTTCATATTTCAACAAAATATGCTATATTTACAAACATCATATGTGCAGCAAAAGAGAAAAAAAGAAATCAGCTATGCAACAAAAAAATTATAGATCTGCAACAAAATAAACAAAATTCAGATCTGCAACAAAATAAAAAAAAATCAGATCTGCAACAACTAAAAATTCAGATCTACAAAAAAAAAATCAGATCTGCAAAAAAAAAAAATCAGATCTGCAATAAATTCTACAAAATTTATACCATAAGAAGCGCATATTTGCAAGAATAAATTCATATCTACAACAAGAAGCTCAAATATGTAATAATAAACCCAGATTTACAATATGAACACAAAACAAACAACAAAAGAAACACAAAACCTCAGATTTGCTTACCATCACCATAATTGAGATAGAGAGGATGGAGGATAGAGATGGGTTTGATGGCAAGAGAGGAAGGAGAAGAGATTCATAGCCAGAGAGGAGATAGAGGAGAGAGAGGCGTTTTATAGAGGGAGAGAATAACTTTATTTTTAACCCAATTAGGTTAATCTCCTTATAAATGTAGGAAAATTTTCGGTTAAGTAAACTTCTTAAGTCTACTGGAGAAGTCTACTCGAAAATTTTAGGTTAAGAAGTCTACTGGAGAAGTCTACTCGAAAAGTCTACTTCGGTATATTTTTTCGATTTCGATTCCCGCCTAATTTGTTCCGATTCCCGCTCTGTTTTTTTAAAGTCTACTGGAGAAGTCTACCCGAGAAGTCTACTGCATACATATGTTTTCTGTAGTAGACTTCTTTAGTATATTTCTAAGGGGTTGTATGTTTTCTAGTTAATTTTCTTTCTGCATTTAAGTTGATTCATTTGTATGAAATTTTGTATTCTATACATGTCAAATATATATGTCTTACTTA